ACATCCAAATCGAAATAAAAGATGAAAATAAAAGCAAAATAATTCAAATAAAGTTGCGTCCTCATAATTACGAGAAACCTGACCATGTACCCTTGGGGTACAACCTCCTTAGAGACACAGGCGAGCCTGGTAAATCGTAGCCAGCGCCCGCCTCCTCCCAGTTTTTTGGATCATCTGGGGTCATTGCTTTCAACCATTTGATCCTCTTTCTCCCGCTCCATAGAGCTACTCTTGCAAGAGAATTCGTTCGAGACGAAGCAACATATTAGCTGCCCACAGTCGCCGATGACCTGCAGAAAAGCGCAACCCCTTGTCTTGCCTTCCTATGGATGAAGTGATGCAGGAACCCCACGATAGTCCACCACTCAGGAACGCATCCTTAACAATCATAGGATGTTTTTTACTTAGACTGCAATTTGCTGATCTGGTCTAGTCTGGTCTGGTCTGAACTGATCTAGTTTAGTAAACGTTTGGTCTTTGTGTACTTTATAAGTACAAAAGTCAAGTCTGATCTGGTCTAGCCTGTTTAAGTCTGATCTGGTCCGATCTAATTTGGGACTGCAAACAATTCAAGTAAAGCAGGTTCGAAGCTTCAAAAGGAAAGCCGAACGAACGAAATCGGCGAAAAAACTACATACTATAGCGAGATGGTTGCAATCCATATTCTCCATATTCTCCAGTATACTGGAGTATGCTAAGGGAGTGTTTGCAACAGCTTCTGCTTTAAAAAAAGCACTTTTGGAGTGATTTGGAAAAAGTGATTATTTGTAAAAGTTGATAGTGTTTGAGAAAAAAGTGATTTTGAAAAGTAAAAGTTGGTAGTGTTTGGTAAAATAAGTGCTTTTTGTGTATAAAAAGTGGAAAAGCACTTTTGACACGAAAGCCGAGAAAAATAAAAAATTGGTAGTGTTTGGTAAATAAGTGCTTTTTTAAGCCAAAAGCTGAGAAGTGCTTTTTTTAAAGTGATTGCAAACCAGCCTTAAGGCCGATAAGTTAAAAAAATAGTGTCATTTAAAAGACTTTAAATTACACGACTTTTAAGACAATGAAATTTGTGTAATTGAGAGAAATATGAATATATAGAAGGAAAACTGTTTTATTTCTAAATAAAGAAGAATTAGAGCAACTTTTTAGGATAGTCAACAAAAGAAAATGAGAAGAATATATGAAGTAGAGCCTCCATTAGTCCATTACTTTAATTTGTGTCGAACTTGTAATGACAAATTTCTATTTGCGTTCTTTTTTTACCTTTTGTCCCCAGTTTTGATGGCAAATACAATATTAGTTAGGGGTGGGCAAACGGGTCTTGGAACCGCGGTCCGGTCCGGGTAATGGCGGTTCGGGTCCAAAACGGGCCGGTTCCATTTTTTGTTCCCATAAAACGGTCCGGGTAGGGTCGGGTAATTTTTTTTAAGGAACCGGACCGGTTCCAAAATTAAAAAATAACGGGTACCCGACCTGGCCCGTTATATATATTGTATATTAATTTATGAATAGTTTTGTGATAATTGGTTTTGAAATAGTTTTGTTTCCTTTGCTAGAAGTAGGATTTTAAATTGAGTTGCAGTAACATCTTTTTGTTTTCAAATTATTGATTAAATGTTTCATAAATATCTTATTACTTTTTATTGTTATTGAATTATTGAATTATTGAATTATGGAATTTAATTATTTGTTAAAGATGATTTTGTTATATTTTTTTATTATATTGTTATTAAAATATATAAATTGTGTTTACCACCCACCATGTATGTCTCAACTTTGGCTAATACTGAAAATTGAATATAAAAAAAAAAGCAATCACTTTAATATGTGATGTTAGACAACATGTTTAAATACAAATGTTAGAAAATATGTATTTTGGCTATGTTGCATATTTTTGGAATTTATTTAATTGTTTGAAACTTATATACAAGAAATTATGGAGTATTGGACTTTTCGCTTGTGTTATATGTGCACCATTATGTTGTTTTTTTTTAAACTTGCTAATGTCCTATATTATTGATTATTGATTTTTGGAACTTCGTGAGTTTTAACTAATTTCAAGACATGAGAATAGAAACCGTAAAACCCGGACCGGACCGACCCGTTTCAAACGGGCCGGGTAATTTCCGGTTCCTATTTTGAAAATTGTAATACCCGGACCGGACCGAACCGTACAATGGAACCGGCGGTTCCATTTTATTTTGCATTACCCGCCCCGACCCGGCCCGTGCCCAGCCCTAATATTAGTTCTTAGACTTTCATTTCCCTAATGATGTCATTTATGGCCTTTCAAAAATATTTCTTCCAAAATTATTATTAAATGAAGGCTCTAGGCCACCACCAAATCAATGATTTGATAATAGTCTTGAAATGAAATTTCGAATAAGAAATTCATTCTTGAAGAAACGTGTAATCAAGTTTCAAGGTTAATTTGGCCAGAAATATTATCTCAGGACACATGGACCAAAAGCAGAAATCCAAACTTGTGCACATCCATATTGTCACTGCCATGATGTCATAAAATCATAGACTCATTAGAGGCCTAAGAGATTTCTTAGGTATGAGAGAGATAGTAGATACACAAAAACAAAATATTTATATTTCTATTTATTTATTTCCACGATTTTATATAATTTTAATAACTTTTTGTTAACAATGTCTACATCTAGACATTTGTTTTAATATTGTGATTTTTTTTTTTACCAAAAACATGTAAGACCTTTCAGTTAAGAAGAGAGATGCATTGCTTATTACAGAGTAATATATACATGTCTATCTCTCTCATGTCACATACTCACATGTGCATCGGGCACATTGTGACATTGGAGATGCTCTAAGATGCAAAATAATTCATGATTACTAAAATAAATAATTACATAGTTATTACTAAAATTAAAGGTGTTTATAAAAATTAGACATTTCAAGTGCACTCATTATAATAATTACCTTTGTCATTATTGAAGTTTATTCCTTCAACCCGTATGCCCAACACGTAACCTATGGAGTTCGAGTGGAGGAGTGTATGAAAGTATAGAATGCAAGCAAGAAAGATGGGCTAAAGTGTATCTGCAATAATGGGTTGTATCTTATTAATGTTAATAAGGGTCTGCATACAACACACTTATGCTATCTGGCCTGCGGCCGATCGTCTATCTCGCTCCTATAAGCTAGGGAGAATGCTTGAATGCTAAGCCGAGTAAGTTGCCAACCTTTTACAATGAAATAAATGCTACTATTTATATTACCAAACGGCAAGTGGATATGCTGTCGTGGAGGGCTGTGGGTGGCTAGGCTCCCAACCACCAAATCTTCAGCATTAGACGCGCTTCCCGCCAGAATCCTGGTTTCCTGCCAATCTCTAGGGATGAGGTCCTGGGCCATTCCAGAATGGTGGAGTCAAGAGGCAGTGGCCGTGCGTCGCCACTGTGTTGCTTGGTTGTAAATGTCGTAGACTAGTCCTTGTAGCCAAGGGTTCTGAGGCCGAGTGTCTTCTTCGTGGGACGTACCTAGGCGACGCCTTGGGCTATTTGAGGATGGCTACCCCTGGTGGGCTTGGAACATGGGGACGACCACCTGGTGGGCCTCTTCGCTTAAGGGGGTAATGGGCTGACCCCCTGGTTGGGCCATTAACCCAACACTCATAGTAACTTTCATAAAAGAGTTTAGAATGTTTTCTTTTGGATTGTATTCAGTTTCAGACTGAACCAGATCATACATAAAAGACCAGACTTGAACAATTATACAATACACAAAGACCAGACATTTACTAGACGAAACTAATTCAAACCAGGTTAGACCAGACCAACAAATTTCTATCCAAAAGAAAACATCCTTAGTAAAAATAATTAAACATAATATTGTGAAAGAGCGGCGATACGCCAAGCTAGAGTTGGGAAGAGAGTTTTGTTGTCGGCGGCACACGCAGTTGTGCTGAAATCGAACCCAAACGATTTTCTTCAAGGAGCATAACGAGTAGGTAGATGGTGATTGAGTTTGGTATCTGGCGGCGTGCTTTCGGTGTCGAAAGTGAAGACATGACAGAAAACTAGATGAACAAGGAGTTGGGCAAGGTTAATGTTTTATCACAAGCCTATGATCGTTTGGTAACAAGATGAAGTATTGACAGTACACCCCCATCCTAAATCTCCACCATGGAGTGACCGAGTGTTTAAGGTTTGAAAGACGACACTTCAAATTTGGACTCAGACGTCTGTAAATTCTTGCTCTATATTTATTTCAAGTTTTATTTTTCATTCGTTAGACTTTTTACCTTGTTTTTGAATTATTTGTGTTAGTGACAATTTTAAGGCCATAATTTGTTTCGAAGCTCCCATACATTTAGAAAAAAAAATCACTCTATTTTGAGTGAACTTTTCTATGTTTGATTAGGAACTAAAAGGAGCTTTTCTATGTTTGATTACGTAGTATATGAGTTTATTGGAGTGAAGAAAAATATGATGACCTTAAGAACCCTATATTGCCCTTTTGGTGATCAACGATTCACAAGCTTCTTTAAAAAGTGGTCATCTCAGAGTATGATTGTATGATATTTCTTGAGTATAAATGAAGATTTTTGAAACATAAATGGTAGATTTTGAACTTTTGACTGGTTATACTACAAACGACGATTGTTTAAATTAATTTAATCTGACAACTTCCAGTAAATAAATTTAATTCCAGTAAAATTGCTTTTGTTTGATGATTTGCGCACAAACTTTACCATATAAATTAGGCTAAAGGGTCAAATAGGCCCTCGAACTAAAAAAGTGCAAATCACCCCTCATATAAGGAGACTCTGTCCGGCCACCGCCATTTAGGGCGATTCCCGGTGAAATTTTTTGATGAAATTTTTGTGCATCTTCAATAAGTCTAGTTTACACGTACCAAATTTCAGCTAAAAATTTAATCAGGAAGGCAATCAAATGAATTTTTGAAGATAACTGCGCAGTTAAACAATGCAGTACATTTCACAAAATAATCATTTGTCATTAAATGATTATATAAATAGCGAAACATGGCTCCAACAACACATCATTTGTCATTATTTTTCACCCAAACGGAAATAAGATATACGATGTTGGGAGTATTAGAGTGTTGACAGCGAGTCCGAATTTACATTGTTTAACACAATATTTGAGGAGCTACACAGCCTACACTTGAATAAATATGCAAGCAAAAACAGCACAACTTAAATCATCTCTACCCCATGAACTCAAATTAGGTGAGTATCTCAAACTTGCATGTGTGTATAAAATAAACATCTTAAAGTTTATATTATAGGTGATCTCTACCCCATGAATTCAAATTATTTATTTCAAAAATGGAAACTTAAGATGCTATGTGCACCCTTTTAAATGTTTAGAGTATTTAAATTGTGCACCTAATACTGTAAACGTACATTTCACAAATATGTCATGGTGCTAAAAGCCTAAAATACTTTAACCATATAGATCATGACATTTATATCTTACATGCAAGTTTGAGGTATTAAGCTCACATTTACAATGTTTGGGATATTTGAGTGACTGTTCTCTTTATTATATGTAATTCAGTATATTAAGGAGTATTATGAAGGTATCCTAGTAAGTAGTAAGGCAGCTATGAGCTCTTAGACAGCAAAAGTTTCTCTTCTTCCTCCAGCCTTTTCAACCATCTCAAACCAAGGTCACACCCTCCATCTGCAGCCAATCCAAACTGTTCTCTAGCCAGTTCAACCGGGTTTAGCTCTGGCTCTCCTTGCCTTTTTGATGCCCTCTTCCAAGGCCTCTTCGTATAAAACTTGGTAATTGATTCTGGAACTTTGGCCCCTGACCCAGGTGATTCAATGGCAGGGGATAACATTGACAAATCTTAGTTTTAGAAAGGAGTTCAGTGATCACAACATGATTAGTACAACCAGCCATCTTTACCCTCTGGATGGTAAAGGGGCGGGTTCAGGTCGGGGATCACGTATCCACGACCAACCCAGCAACAAACTTTGGTAGAGGTTTTAAGCATCCACCCTTAACCCACCCAATAGGAGGACACTAAATAATAATGATTTGATATTGAAAACAATAAATTAACTATATGAAGTTATCGAATGCTACTTTTTCTAAAGATATTGATGTATATACTTTGTCATATACTACCTCCGGTCTTTGATAGTGGGGACATAAAAGTGTGCCCACATGGGTCCTTGGGATTCCTATTGCACGGTGTAACTAAGGAAATGATAAGAAAAATAATACTACCTCATACCTCAGTCCCACCAGGGGCAGATCCAGAAAAATCATTTATTGGGGGCACTTTTTATGCACATGGATATAGATATAAAAAATATACTACTATGTACTATCTAGGGAGTTAATGAAATTGAAAAAGATTTAGAATTAAATATTTAAACATTACTGACTTTGTCACTAATTTATGTCAATATTTTTCTTTGTACGCTTTTTAATTAGATGAGCACGTTGTAGTGGAAATTTGCTTAGAAGAGAGAAATAATTTCAAATGGAGAATCGATTCCTTAAAAAAATTAAATAAATTAGATTTAGGTGAAAAAAGAACGAATGCATATAAAAAATGAAAGAAAGGAGTATCAAAACACTTTAATTTTAAATTCAAGCTGAAATAATGCTATTCTATAACTAAATAAATATATATAAAAACTAAAAATAAATTTAGAAGTAAGTGAGGCAGTAAAAAATCAATGGGGGTATACTAGGTTTTCTAATGGGGGCATTATTTAAAAATCATAGAAATTATAGCTTATAGTGCAATTTTATTGGGGGCATGTGCCCCCATTCCTTCAAAGGTGCATCCGCCCATGAGTCCCACTAACATTGGGACATGAAGAGGTGGTGCGGTTATTAAGAAAAGTGTGCTTATATGGTTTCTATTAAATTGATAAAGTAAGAATAAAGTAAGAATGTTTTAAAACCAAACGAATCTTACCAAATTTGGTATGAGACAATCTTGGTGGGACAGACCGAAAAGGAAAGATGAGACAATTTTAGCGGGACTGATGGAGTAATAATAACAATGATATGAATGGTTGTAATAGTACACCTTAGCTCAAATTGTAACAAAGAATAGTTTTTACCTTGCAAGAGAAGGGAGCCATATGCTATAGCAGCTCCAGCATGACCCTTAGAAGAAGTTTAAAGTATTAGTGGCCGATACTCAATTAATGCTTTTTGGCATTAATTTATACATTAACCAATCCCTCACATGCCACCTACCCCAACTAGTTGCTATTATAGTGGTGACAATCACCAAGTCCCTCATTGGGTTGGTGTCTATTGAACTTGGGTCTAGTATACAAGTGTGAATCTTATCTCTTAAGTTTTTTAGGGTGAGTTAGAGCACATTTAGATGGTATCCAAGCCTGATGTATGGTGTTTGGTGGGTCGCCTATCGATTCGATGGTTTGGGGGCTGGGGCAACTCGTTTTGAGGTCAATTTGGACCCATTTGTCCACCTCACCAGCTGTTCAACCTGACTAGCACCAAGGAAGGTGTGTCGAGTAACCCACATGTAGCGTATAATGGATTTGAACATAGCATAATAGTTAACATAAATCTCACTCTCTCACCCTTTTAGGATCCTTTTGAGGTGAGTTAGACCCAATTGAATGATGATGACGGCATGAGGGAATGAAAAGTTTTATACCTTTTTCGATGCTCTGTGGAAACACCAAATTGCAGAATCAATGTCTTTTTTTACACAATCTCCAGTCAAATAGACTGCACCTAAAAGGTATAGTGCACCTGAGTGCAACTGATACAAATCTTTGTTAGTAATTAACGGGCAGCTTAATGATGTAATGACGTTATTGGTTTGTAGTTCAAGTATATACCTGATCAGCTGCCTTCTCTAAATAGTAAAACGCTTGCTGATCTGATTGAACAGCCTCATTCTGCAACATGGTTGAAGTTTTCCAGGAATGTCAAAAATATAATATTGCTACATTGATGCAATGTTATGGGGCGGGGGGAACTCTCTGTGATTTGTGATATAAAATGATGTGAATGCCAGTGTTTGGCATTGCGGTAATGCAAAAGACTGCTTTTTATATGAAATAACAAAGACATGTCCACAAAAAACTGTGTTGAGGTGCTATAGTTTCAAAACATCTCCTAGTAGTATTTGTAGTTGTGACATTCAAGCCACACCACTATTTTATTTTACTAAAAGAGCTTTTAAGGGAAAAACGTTTTGTGCCTTAAAAAGTCACAACCATACCAAACTAAGGCTAAAATAAATTAGATGGGTGGCTAGTCTATATCTAGAAGATCGTACTTATGTCATAAACTTGTACATGTTGAAAGACAATTCAATCGTCATCTTTCAAATGAATGTAATCATAATATGGGCGAGAGGCATGCAACCTGAGAACTAGAATGGAGTAGCATAGTGAGCCTCATCTATGCGACTTGAAAAGAACTTAATATTAAATAACAAACTGGCTATAGACAAAACCACAAACGTTATATTATTTACAATCCATGACAAAATAACAAACACTGCCTTAAAGAAACAAAGAAAGCATACCTCAACTCTCAAACAGCGACCTAACTCATACTGAGCATCTGGATCACCCATCTCTGCAGCTTCAACTAACAAAGCAGCACCACTATAATGAGAAAGGAAATTGGAGAACATCAGTTGCAAACTGGATAAAATAGCTAGATAATACTCCATCTGTCCTATAGAACAGTAATTAATTCTTTCATGTAGTACCCTTTATATAGTCATAATATGGAATCACGGCAAACATGAAAAGAGAGCTAGAAGCATATATTTTATTAATTTGTAGGTAAAAAATAATTACTCCTTTTCCTCATAAAGATGGGCTTGAAGATAATTGCAAGGGGATTCACAAAAAGTTGGAAACTTGGAGTATTGAGTTCACATATGCAATTTCACTTTCACCATGTTGAAAGTGAACTAATGAATTACTCATATATAAGAACTCTTGAAATGAAAAATTCAATAGGGGTAAAACTTGGATGGCAAATAAAATGCATGCCTAATAAGTAAAATTGGATTACTTTTGAGAGGCAGAACAAAATGAAATACAAGTTTCAAAATAAGGCTATACAACTAGATAACTTGTGATTGATTTTAAAATGGGGTAATATAAGTTTGCACCCCATTTTATTGTCCAAATTTGACTTTGCACCCCATTTTTATAAACTTTTGTATTTGCACCCCGACCCCTTGTGAAAAGACAAAAATGTCCTCCATTAACAATTTTGTTGGCCTTCAAAATATTCCTTATCTAAGGGCATTTTTGTCTTTTCATAAGGGGTTGGGGGTGCAAATACAAAGGTTTTTAAACACGGGGTGCAAAGTCCAATTTAGACAATAAAATGGGCTGCAAACTCAAATTACCCCTTTTAAAATTTAGCTGAATTTTTATAGGCGCGAATTAGATCAAGTGTACATTTAAACAGGACTGGATAAGAATGCTGGAAATGTTTCTACATGCCAATAAACATTCAAATTAGATAGACACATGTTATGCAAGAGAAAAGGCATGTTTACATGGCTTTGCAAGCGCCGGGAACATGGTACTTGAAATGCAACTTTGACAGCCAATATCTAGCTTGTGTATTTGAATTGTCTACCTCCAGAGCTAATTCAAAGCTCTCCTTTGCTTCCTAACACAAACACATCATATATATATATATATATATATATATATATATTCATTTATTTATTAAACGACGCCTAAACACTCCAACAAAAAAATGAAATAGCTTGCAGGCTAAAGCTTACACTTAGTAGAGGAATGAGTCGTTTATCTTTGAGCTCACAATAATCAATAACCCTGTCAACTTCCTTCAGAGCGGTCCATCCTTTTGATATAAACTCTACAGCTTTCTTGTTTCTGCTATGTAGCCCTCTCTGGGAAATGAATATAATTATTCAAATAATGAATTAATTAATATTAATGAAGTTGCATTAGCACAAGAATACACGATAAGGTTCAGTGCATAGGATGAATTTACCCGTGGACAGAAGTGAAATAGATTATAACTGCGGCTTCTAAAAGCAGTCTTTAAGAGATATGACTTCAGCATTTATTACTGCAATCTAGTAGGAATTACATGAATCAATTCGAGATATCAGGGCGCAAGAAAATATGAAGAGAGGCACGGGCAGAAAGTGCCTGCCTTGAACATCTCCAGGCTAACACTTATTCATCATGGTTAAGTTATAGTTTTCGGATTATTTTTCCACGCATGTCTTTAAAAGTATCTTTCTAGCGGAATGGTTAAAATTTCATCCCCACAAGTGCGTCCAGTTAAAAAAGACAACAAAAGGTGCCACTTGAGCAAAAACACAAACATGTGGTGTGCAGTCCAGGTGAGGTGGAAGATCATAAAAAGTACACATTCAACTATATAAGTTGATACAAAAGCAACAAGTCAATACAAAATCATTTATATAATTATGTATCCTTCAAGCCCTCCAATTAAAATGGTTCGCCACTAGGAGGTTAGCAACAACAAAACTAACAATTTGAAGTGCTAGGAAAAACATAATACACAGTTTGAAGTGCTGGGAAAAACATAATACACAGTTATCCCAGATTACAACAAATATAACGGTTAATTGAGGAAAGCTATCTTTTTCCATCCTTACAACTGATAGACACAATAGAAACTAATACTATAAGAAAAGAAGAATGCAAGATGCATAAACCATGAGAATGAGCAACCCAAATAGTAAAAAAAACACATATTTTAAAATGAAAATATGGAAACCTGAGGAAAGCGATCTTCTTTCAGCCTTTGAACTGATACTCTGAGACACAATAGATGCTTATACTATAAGAAAAGAAGAATTCAAGATACACATACGCCATGAGAATTAGCAACCCAAATAGTAAAAAACACCTATCTTAAATTGAAAATCTGGAAACCTGAAGGAGTTGAAGGTAGAAGGTATTTAAAAATTAAGGTTACATAGGGAGGACAATCAAGACATTATCAGGACGACAGGACATCAAATTCAATGCAGCCTTAGAATTTCAATACATATGCAACCTTATACTATGTACTTTTGATTGCATGTGCAACAACTTAGATAAATATGGCTTACATTATGCACGTGGAAGTACCAAAATTTTATAAATTCAATGAAATTGGGCAAATATTAAGACAATTGTTTCCGAAATAAAATGATGAAATTAAACATATATTCTTGTTTCTCTTAAATTACACCAAATGGGGAAAATAAATTATAGAAAAATATATTCTCTCAAGAAATCGCACATTGATAATCAATAAAAAAGGAATATAAACAGCCAATGAACTATTACACATATGTAATCTACTAACGGTCTGTTTGGGTAAGGTGAAGTTAAGTAAACCTAAGTTTTAATAAACAATAGGTGAACCTAAGTGAACCTAGGTGCACATGTAAAATGGCGTTTGGAAAAAAATTAAGTGAACCTAGGTTAATATAATAAATTATTGTTTGCATGAAGGTGCTCTAACTTATTAATGACCTATATACCCTTCATATGTATAAGTGCGTGAATAATGTTAATGCTTCACACAATCATTGGTATAACAATAAACCTAATTTAAAGAAGTGACTTTTGCTCCTACAAGTGAATTTAACAAATTTCTTACACTTGCAAGCTCAAACATATAAAATAGGTATAAATATCTATCACACATTAAGTAGGATAAGCCGTGGAAAATGTGCAGCTTGCAAACAACTAAGGAGGAGGTGCCCATCAAATTGCATACTTTTTCCATTTTACCCCTCTAATGATCCTCAAAGATTTTCTTTTGTTTACAAAATCTTTGGTACTAGCAACATTGAAATGATGCTCCAGAAAGTGGAAGAGCATGAGCGAGCAGAGGTGGCAGAATCCTTGTACTAGGAGGCACATTATCGGATTAAGGATCCAGTTTATGATTGTGCTGGAATAATTACTATTTTATGTGACCAAATATACAATCTTGATGATTTACAAGCATCTTGGCTTCTTTGGGGGAAGCCTGAAGGGGAAATATAAATAGTGCCAACATGTTAAGATAACTACTGAAGCAAGCTGCCGAATTTTCTCCATCAGATACAAGTGAGGGATCACAAAAAGTAATTATTTACATGGATTAAGACAACATATTAATTGACATTTAAGTACCTAAAAATGGACCTTACTAAAAGTTCTGTTTTAAAAGATTCACTAATCGTAGCATTTAAAAATGAACATATGACATTTATACCTTTGGGCACTGATTTTAAAATGATACCAACTGATGTGGTTGCAAATGATGTGGTAGCAAATGAGGACTAGTCAGTAAGTTTTTTTAAGAGGTTTATTGTAAACTGTGATTAATTCATTAATTCATTAGTTCGACACTAATTTAGACAGAATATTCGTTTGGCTATTAGAATTAGCTAGTATTAGTGACATGAAAAGGAAAAATGATGCTAAAAGTGTTATTTCCTACTTAATTATGTACCAATATATGATTGGTTTTATCTGAGAAAATGAGAATAGAAAAGGTTTGATTAATGTTTATGTTTTATTCTTAGGACAAGAGGAGATGACATTATGTATGTTGCTTAACACGGTTGATCCAAAGATTGGAGGAGTCATGATATCATGTCTGTTCCTCAACTTTAGTGAAACCTATTCCTATTTCCAGAATCTGATTTCTATTACAAGTAGAGATATTTTAGTTCAAAACTATGGGGTGTTTGGATCTGATTCTTAAAACTAAACTGCTTCTGCTCCTTCAGGGAGCTGAAGCAGAAGTTGGAGTGTTTGGGTGAAAGTGCAGAAGCGATTCTGGTGCTCTAATTTACTCCTAGAATCAGTTTTTTAGAAGTTGGGGGAGACCAACTTCTGAAAACTGATTTTGATTCTGCTTTTGCTTTTAAAAAGAAGCAGAATCAGTTCCAAACACCCATATGTTGAAACATTAAAATCTATGTTTTAAATTAAGATGTTGGGTTAAACTTCACATATACTATCGTTAAGTCTTACTCAAACATTTTAACAAACAGCTAGTATGCAGCACATATGCATTTGTATATAAGTACACACATATAATCTCAGTCAAGTAAATCAACAATATTGCAGCAAGTTCACATGTAAACCATATGTTAATCTAGAATATTACAGCAAGTATGTACCCCAGTCAAGTAAATCAACAATATTATTGGAAGTCCATACGTAATTCAAGAAGCACAGCATATGACACTGTCATATGGAAGTCCATATGTAATTCAAGTCCATAGGGTTAAAGATTATTTAAGTAATTTTAATATCTAAAAACAGTGTCATATTTTGAACATTGAAACTCTCAGCATCATATTTTGGTCACTGTTTCATTCAATTGTCATTCACTCATTTCAGGTCAGCGGAAAATCATTATGTGACAGGTTCAGGGAAGAAGAATACAGGAGAAGGAGAAGAGAGGAAGAGAAAAACCTGACGTCTCAAGCTCCAGTTGATAGAGAAGCTGCTGGCGGCAGATTGAGAAGATGAAGTTGTATGAGAAGATGGCGGTAAATGAAGCTGATGGCGGTAGAAAAGAACGTGTAGATAGATGTGGGGAACGAATGGGTAAACCCAGATTTTTCTTTTTTGCTGCACTTTGAAGTTTGAACCCAGATTTAATTTATTATTAATAATCTAGGTTTTAGTTGTAGAAATATAAACAAACAAGGTTAATTAAAAATTAAATCTGAAATATTCAAAAAAAATTAAACCTGAAATATGTTAGATTAACCTCCAAACAAATAGAGCATAAGTGGTTAGACCTTATTGGTCCTATTTAAACTTGGAAGAGTTTTAATACTTCGTACTCGTATTACTTAGGGGTGGGTCGGAGAAACCAAAAACCAAAAACCGAATCGAAAAAACTCGAACCGCAACCAAAGCAACCGAACCGTAAAAAAACCGAAACTGAACTAAAAAACCAAACCAAACCAAACCGTAGTCGTTTGGTTTTGGTTTTCACATCTCAAAATCGAACCGAACCGAATAAACCGAATTTTTAAAAACTAGTTATTTTATTTATTAATCATTAAGTATAATATTTTGTTTAGTTCTTAATTCTTAATTGTAGAAAATTTGTGTTTGATACTAGATTTATTATGATTTGCAAGATATTGAATTTAATATTTATGGTTTAATTAAGTGAAACACTTGTACATACACTTAACTCTATTGCTATAATACTGATATTTTAAACCGTAATATACATTTTGCTTTGACAATGATATTTTGTTAATATATTATATGTTATGTATATATGTTTGATCACATATTTTTTATATTGAACAAAAATGTATTAATATAAACTACACTTTAAACAAGAAAGCAGAAAACGTGAAACATTAAATCATAAATATTTTTTTTCTAAAAAGAAAGCATAATAAGTTATTTAATAATAAAATTATAACTTACGTATACATTTTATATAATTCACAAATAAACTCACACATTTGTTCTCTCTCTCTTTTAATTATGTACGATTTTGTATTGTATAACTATTAATACTAGTTTGATATAGTTTTTTGTTTTGTTTTTGTTTTCCAATTACTAAATCGAAATCGAAAAAACCGAAACCGAACCGAAAGAAACCGAACCGAACAAATCGTCGTTCCAAAATTTTTAACATAAAACCGAACCGAACTTTTTACTTTGATTCTACATTTGGTTTTAGGTGAAAACGGAACCATTTGAACCAAACCCACCCCTAATATTATTTGCACTGTCTCACATGGCACAAGAAAAAAAGGATGACACCCATCCCTGAGCCCCCCAACACCGACCGGACGACACGATGGGAGGATGTAAATTGGACTATAATCACAATCTGACAGATAGAGAGTGAGGCTCCGTCCCCGGTACTTGCAGAGGCCCTCTATTAAGTAACCTCTCATCGTAGTTGTCGGGAGTCGAACCCGGGACCTAACCCTTGTGATAGTCCCTCACTACCAGTTGAGCTACGTCCACCAATAAATTTGTTTTTCACAAGACACAAGAAGATATGAAGGGAAGCCATGTGTGTGAAGTATGTTGGCGCTGGTGTTCCCTCTAAGGCAGACGGTTCTATTTAAAACTAAATACTTTGAAACAAAAAAAGACGCGAAAGTGAAGTCACTCCGTTAGGTCGTACTAACGGAAGAATGAGAGTACAACGCCTTAAAAGGAGGTACATCTTGATTGAACACTAAGGCTTTGTTTGGAAGTGCTTGTGCTTAAATAAAAGCACTTTTTGAGAAAAAGTGATTAGTAGTAAAAGTTGGTAGTGTTTAGTAAAATAAGTGCTTTTTGTGTAATAGAAAATGTAAAAAGTAGATTCTACACAAAAACCGAGAAGGTAAAAGTTGATAGTGTTTGATAAAATAAGTGCTTTTTTCTTAGAAAAAAGCTACAATCACTTAAATTTTAGGGTTGCAAACAGAGCCTAACTAGTACTTCTCCATTCTCAAAATAAACATCACACTTTCCATTTCGGACCGTCCCTAAAAAATTCTTTTGTTTTATTTGATCAACAAAACAATGCAGAACAATATAGTTTTCTTAAATTGTATGTAAAACAAAGTGACAATTTTAAATAAGGACGGAGAAAGTATTGAACAATGTTGTTTAGGAAGATGTGTTTCGAAAAGTGTAGCGTGTAGCAAGATGTGTTTCAAATGTGTAGTTGCTGAATTCTTATTGTAATATTATTTTTTATTTTTTTGAAAAAAATGTACTACGTAATATTTATTTATTCCCTCTTATTCCAAAACATACTCCATGTCACACATTAATAATGAGTCAAACTTATTTTTCCTTGATTAAACTTTTTTTATATTACATCTATACAATCATTTAAACATTAACTAAATAAGTTAACAACTGATATACTATTGTTATTACTTAATCTATGTTCATGCATAATAGTTGTAACTTGTAAGTAAGTTGGAAATTAGAGCATTAAGTTCATATATGCAATTTCACTTTCACCGCGTGTTGAAAGTGAAATAATGAATCACTCATGTATAAGAATTCTCGAAATTTTTATCAAAAAAAAAATCTTGAAATGGAAAATTCAAATTCAATCAATAGGGATAGACTTGGATGGCAAATAAAATGCACTCCTAAAAAGGAAAACTGAATTATTTAAAACAGTGGCGGAACCAGGACTCTTAACCTGCAGGGGCACATTAACAAAGAAATAATATACATCACGAATATAACAATAAACAAAACTATACAATTTAAATAAAACAACTAATTAGAGAGTACCTTAATTTTGATTAAAATATGATGCATCAAATGAAGGAGAATAATTGAGAAGCTACAATCTTTGTTTTTGGTTTGTTGTGATAATACATAATCCACATTTTGTTTTTGGTTTTGAAACCCAAACCATTTAATTTTTGCATAATGATGCGTGCTTTTTCTAGACCTCCTTCGTGGTCACAGAATTTTTCCTTAGTTTTCTTCCCGTTATTAAACCCAACTTCAGTAAAAGCACCATCCCAATTTTTATGACCTCTAGCAAACAAATAACACAAATGACAAAATGTTGCATCCTTAGCAACATTATACTCCAACCAATTAAATTCATGAAACCACTGCTTTTGAAATGATCTGTTGCACCTATTAAAATCAGTCTGTGGAAATTTAAACTCACGCGGTTGGAAAGGGCCTTTTGTCAAATAACGTCTCCTCAACTCGCGTCTAATATTAACATCATAAGTGTCAATCGGCTTACGCAATCTAGGATCACCAACAATGTCATCATTTGACAATTCAACTTCTATTTGAGCCTTTTTAACATTATTCTCATTGTTAGAAATGACATTATCCGACGAAGAAACTAAATTATTTGATGAAGAACCACCTATGCTCGGCCGTTTAGGTTTAAGTGGAAAACACCATAACATAGCGATTGTTTGTTAAACAACCTAAACCAACTACAATTGAAATAATATGAGTATAATTGAATAAATTACATTATTACAAATTAACAACGCCCACTAAATCAACAAATCCACACTTTTAAAATTACATTCGAATTGACATTTTTAATGAGATTATCATAAAAAAAAATCAACAGTGCATTTAAATTCAACAAATAAAAGTATTCAACAATTCAACAATTATGAATTCAACAAATAAAATTCAACAAATAAACAATTTTAAATGAAATTTGCAGAAAAACAAATAAACAAGTTAGGTTAAGCGGCTTACCTGAAATCTAGGAGACGAAGATTAAGCCGGAAATCAAAAGAAGGGATGAAACAGTGAACTGCCGTCCGCCACCGCCGTACATGGTCAGTCGTCGGCAGCACTCCTCTGGCGCTGAGATGCTCGCAATCGTTCGTCCACCGTCGTTCATTGGCTGAAAGTTGCTGACTTGCGTGACAGGGGCTAAGGTGAAAGAGGAGCTGGGCTGCGTAGTGACGGCTTGAGGAGTTGAGAAATTGGGCTGGGTTGAATTTGTTGGGCCGCAGGCTAAGGGAAAAGGGGAATTGAGTTTGGACTGCAGGGGCTCAAATTAATAAATATTAATATACATATATATATATATATATAGAGGAATGATCCTGTCCAGCCGGAGGGACAGGATCTTCCGTCCGGCCGCCGCCTTTTGGGGCGGTTCCCGGTGGAGTTTTTTGATGAAATTTTTATGGAATGTTCCTCATCAAGTCTAGTTTATCCACAAAAAATTTCAGCTAAAAATTCGATCGGGAAGGTAGTCAAATAATTTTTTGAAGATAACTGCTCCAACTTAAACATATAAAACGCAGTTATGTTTCAAAAAATTATTTGACTGCCTTCCCGATTGAAGTTTTAGCTGAAATTTTTTGTGGATAAACTAGACTTGATGAGGAACATTCCATAAAAATGTCATCAAAAAACTCCACCGGGAACCGCCCTAAACGGCGGCGGCCGGACGGAGGATCCTGTCCCTCCGGCTGGACAGGATCTTTTCCGTATATATATATATATATATATATATATATATATATATATATTTAGGTTCATGTGAGAACTTAATCTTAGGAGAGGGAAAAAGAATAAATGAGAGCCATTAGATCATCAATTTTTTTCAATGGAACATGTACGCACTTATAGGGTCCTTTGGTCATTTTATGCATATTTCTATATTTAACACTACGTATCAATCATTGCAACTAATGCCACATCTTTATTATTAGGTAATTGACTTACATGTGTTTCTATATTGATATTTTCTTTCTTTTGATAAGGTTTATCATATTACTTTTAATTAATCTTTTTTTTTCGAGCAAACTTTTAATTAATCCTTATTTTTTTTCTATGTTCTATTTAATTTTTTTAATTTTTCACCATGGCTTCAGTTCTTTAGAAACTTTTTATCAAACTTTTTATTTTATATAATAACACACTTTTGAATATATTTAAGATTCACGTCATAAAAGTGCATTTGATTTTAAATAAGAGTGCTAGAGTAATTCTAAAAGTAGGATGTAATAATAGTGCACATTTATGTGTATTTAAAGTGCTCTTATTAGTTAAAAGTTTGCACTATTATTATTTGTTTAAAGCATATGATTGTGCACAACCTTTATGTATGATGTGCACAACTCTTATAGGCAGAAGTTTATAAATAAAGTGTAACATAATGCGTACAAAGTGCAAACTAATAGCATATATGTATCAATATAAAATTTTGAAAGTGTCACTAATAATGCACTTCTGCATATATTTTAATGCACATTATAGTAGATAGTTTGCAAATATCCTTGTATATTTCTATAAATTTTTATTTTATAATTATTTTTATTTTAAATCTATGAAAGTGCACAAATGTGTAGGTTAAGTGCAAATTAATACTATTTTGAAAGAGAACTCAATAAGATAATTAAAATCAATTAAATTTGATCTTATTTTTTCAATATATTAATTTAGAAACATTGGGTGCAACCTTCACCATCGGAAGTGCAAATTCATATGTTTAATTGTGCATCCACGCAATTGAGAAATTTCATATAATGCTTTGATTGCATTTATGTACTCGGTATTATTTTAAAAAACGTAACCTAAATAAGTCAACTATGTAAGGAAAGAGTGGTCCGTATTAATAGATTGTCCAACATTTAATGCTTTGATCCTATTTATATGGAAATTTGAGTGGCCGTTGTTTATTATCAAAATTAATTGACCATGAGTTTTACACATTTACCCTTAGTGTTAAACGGTTGTTAAACAGTTCCTTTTATGATTATAAATAACCCTTCAAAGGTCATCTTAATTACCATGCTACCCAATTAATTTATATTCGATCTTAGCCTTCGGTTTGATATCTTTGATGGATAGATTTTGTTCTTTTTTACTCTCCTAAAAGGGTGTTCTCACAGGAACTAACCCCTATATATATATATATATATATATAAGAAGAAGAAAATTGGACTGCAGGGGCACGTGCACCCCCTAGCCCTTAGCTAGTTCCGCCCCTGATTTAAAATGATTTTGGAAAAAGTGTTTACTGGTAAAAGTTGGTAATGTTTGAGAAAAAATTGATTTTGAAAAGTAAAAGTTGATAGTGTTTGATAAAATATGTTCTTTCTGTGTAATAGATATAATAAAAAACGAATTATAACTTTTAGTTTTTAAGTGTTTAATTTAAGCTCGAGCAAAAAAAATTGTTTAATTTAAGCAGAACTTTTCACTTGAAAACATTCTTTTTAGTTTTTCTAAGTCAAAAGTCGAGAAACACTTTTAAGCGTTTGCAAACAATGCATTCATAATACACTGATGGCTAATACATATGTTCACATTAAAGGAGTGTCATACATTGCTCCAAAAATATTTTTCAGTTTTTTGTTTGAAGAAAAGCTGAAATGAATGTTTTCAAATGACAATTCTGCTTAAAATAAACACTTTAAGAGCATGTTTGACACAACTAGCTAAAAAGATACTTTTACGAACTTTTTAGAACTTGTTAGCTTTTAGTGACTGAAAAGATCTTAAAAAAGAAAAGGCGATAGCTGTTTGATAAAAAGCTGATTGTTTGATTTAGTTCGGTTTGGTATACAAGCTGTTAAAACCAATTAATACTAAAAGTCACGAGCTTTTCTCATATGCTACACCCGGTAGCATCTCAAAAAAGATATTTTAATTTTTGAAACTCTTAAAAAATGTCATGCCAAATATACAACTAGAGTCTTTTAAGGTCTCTATAAAGAATAGAAAAGCTAGAAGCTAGAGTCTTTTGTGTGCCAAACATAGCCTAAAGGTCTTTGTAAGAGCTTAAAAACGTTCTTTGGCTTTAGCTCAGAAAAACTAAAATTAGTGTTTTCAAATGAAAACTTTCATTTAAAAAACATTTATAGACTTTTGGCTGAAAACGTTTTTTTTTTTCTTTTTTTATTACACAAAAAACACATATTTTACCAAACACTGTCAACATTTATTTTTTAAAATCACTTTTTTCTCAAACATTATCAATTTTTACTATTAATTTTTTTTTTCTAAAATCACTTCAAAAAGTGTTTTTGAAGCAAAAACATCTACAAACACTCTCTTGCAAAAACACTCTTTAGGGTATGTTTGGGAGTTTGGAAGGAAGGGTAGGGGCAGACTTTGAAGGGTTGTTGTAGGAGGGGAAATGGAGGGGAAATGGAAGAGAAAGTGAGGAAGCTCTTCTTCCTATTTGGAAGTAATAAATTTGAAAGAAGGGAGTCTTTGAAAGAATTATAATTAAAATCACGTTGAGATATGACAAATTTAAATAATTTGATCGATATTCATTTTAAATTAAACTTAAATTATCATTTCATTAATTACCTATCTTAATCTTCCAAATCGGAAAACTTAAAAATTCAGCATAAAGAAAACTTTGGAGAATTACAAAATCATTTTGGAGAATTACAAAATCCCTCCAAAATCATTCTCTGCGCAAAGGGAGTGTATGCAAATACTTTGGCTAAACAATTACGGAGTAGAATTTAGAAGGATAACCCAAACTACCCTTCAATTACGCAATCCTGCAATCTGCAAATCCGCCATTTTAGACCAACGAGCAAGAACCACTCTCTTCCTCTTTCTATTTTTTTCTTTATACTCCGTATGTTATATATATATATAGAGATTTTTTTATATATTTATACCCAGTATTTAGCTTTAGGCTTCCTGGAATAGAAATTTTGCTGGAAAGCGATACAGCTTTTCATAGCTATTCGCCACATATAATGTCACCTCTGGAATGCCCAGTATTCACGGTGTCCAATTTGGGCACCCACCTTGCCGTGCCTATTTCTCCCGACGCGACGGCCAGGGACTTCAAGAGTGCGTGCTTACTCTTATTCCTCCATATTATTCTTCTCAATGCCTTTAATCTTTCTTTTTTGGTATGTATGCCCGCATATATGCTGTTTTCTGCCAAGAAGTATAATCTATGCTCTAAAGTTCATACCTTTATTCGCATATTTCAGCATTCGTTGCCGTTTATTTTGAGGGCTCTTCTCTTTGTTTCCAAAATTCCAAGTTTGTAATTCCGGGAACTTTAGTCTTATGATGAATGCCATTGTGGGAAACGTGACTTATACTTCCATTCGTCGAGATAAGTAGTCCAATGTTGAGATGGCTTAACACATGTCTGATTTTTTTTTTCTTTTGGGAGCAGAACAATATTTAAAAGGCATGTACTAGTTTTCAGGCTTACCATGTCCGAGTTGCTCTTTTGAATTTAGTTGGTTCTAATGTCATTTTACTTTGGGTTCAATCTTAAAAGATAAGAAGTGGTTCAATGCCTTATATATATGTGTGTGTGTGTGTGTTGTAAACTTTTAATATTTGACTCATGTGAATTGACTTAGCATTATAAGCTTCTGGTATCAAGGCTATTAATCTCTTCAGAAACCTTCCCAATGTGCAATGCATGTTTGCTGGACAACTAGATGAATTAAAAGAACAGCCTATTCTTTTTCTAGAATCAATTTGGTTTCTAGACATATGATGCTAAGAAGACAAGTTAACTTATTAAGAAGTACATTGCAGCTCAAATGTTCTGTGAACTGTGATTTATGTTTATAAAGGTTTAATGAGCGTGTACTTGTGTTTTTGTAGGAGTATTTGAGAGAGCACACTTGCATTGCTTCCCAGAACATGGAGAAATTGTGGCAAGTAGTGTAATGGTATGTTTGAAGTTCTGAACTGCTTTGTTAGCTGTCTTTAGAAGATTAATACTAAAATTACCATATTGAAAGTCAATTTCATAATTACCCCCTTTCCCCGTCATATTTGCATTAATATTTTTATATATCAGCTAAAACTTACAATGAGCATTCATCATCATCATTTGCACCTTAATCCTAATTAGTTGGGGCCTGTTCTATGGTTTTACTTAATTGTGTAAAGTATAATTCATGCAACGACTCCAATGAGAAATATTGTGACAATGTTTATTCTGCTTGATGCCCCTCTTGTTGGGAACCTCT